CGAAGCGAGGAATGAGCATCTCGCGAGGCCAGGAATAAGCCTCTGGCAAAGCGAAGAATAAACATCTCGCGAGGCCAGGAATGAGCCTCTGGCGAAGCGAGGAATAAACATCTCGCGAAGCCAGGAATGAACATCTAGCGAGGCGAGGAATAAACATCTCGCAAGGCCAGGAATGAGCCTCTGGCGAAGCGAGGAATAATCATCACGCGAAGCCGGAATGAACATCCGGCGAAGCGATGAATAAACATCTCGCGAGGCCAGGAATGAGCCTCTGGCGAAGCGAGAAATAATCATCTCGCGAAGCCAGGAATGAGCATCTGGCGAAGCCAGGAATGATCATCTGGCGAAGCGAGGAATAAACATCTCGCGAAGCCAGGAATGAACATCTGGCGAAGGGAGGAATAAATATCCCGCTAATAAAGCCTCAAATAATAGAGGTGATAAGAAGAAGGGGCTTTGAATAAGAGAAATCCGAACTAAGCAATTTATCGAGTTTTTTTTTGCGTGCATTGTAAAAATAATTTTTTTTGGCACAAATGAATTTTGTAGTCTAGGCACGAAATCATGAAGAATTAAAATGGCAAATTTCACATACTTTCTCAATTTGTCATCATGGATATTGTATTAATTCATCACTGTAAATTTAGAATGCAAATAGAAGAATTTTGCCACTCTAACTCAAATTTTGCCATTACCTATATTCTTCAATGTTGAAGCTCCAGTAGNATTAATTCATCACTGTAAATGTAGAATGCAAATAGAAGAATGTTGCCACTCTAACTCAAATTTTGCCATTACCTATATGCTTCAATGTTGAAGCTCCAGTAGGAAACAATAAGCAAAAGTTGAAAGTAGATATGTGCATGCTCTAATTTAGTTCAAAATGGAGATTTTTGAAATAGCCTGTAGCATTAAAGAGGCACCAAATCTTTACCGTACCCATTCAATTTTGAAGTAGTGGCGGGAATACCTTAAAGCTTGCGAAGAGTTTGGATGAAGAGATGAAAATTCTCATCTGTTTAATCACAATTTCACGTTCCTCCTCCAAACGTGACCCAAAACCGAGAGGCCCCATCTCAACGAAATAAGTTTATTGTTGTAGAAGGAAGACACCAGTGCGATGGCCCATAAGAAAAATAACCACCGAGAACTGGAAATGTTTTACCAAAACAATAAATCCTTGGGCCCAATTTTTCATAACTTTGGCCCATTTCCACTAAACTCATTAGTTGACCAACACATTTCCAATATATTGTAGAATATAAAACTAATTTGCAAAATATCTATTTCTTCTGCCACACAATACAACTTGCAGAGACTGAATAGACAACCCGTCTCAATCCATAC